AGATTGTATGTGTCCCTGAATCTTGTCCTGAAGGGCAGTTTAGTCATAATGAAAAAATAAAATAAAAAGTTTTGCTATTTAGATAATAACCACTGGTTTGGGAGATTAATTTGCATATTAAAATCCTTATATTTCAGATAAAATAGTAAACAATTAAAGAACAAATGTACATGTGGACCCATAAAACAATCCAGTGACTGTGCTACAGAAAAAGATCTTGTTGTACATAGGACAGTTTTTGCAAATGTTGCATACATCTGGAACAAATAGGTGAATTGATTCTCAGGTTCATTCCAAGTTGAAAAAGAAAAGAATTTGTGACTACTTAGTTTTTTCTGCTAAGATAGTAGTGGATTATGTCTTTTAAGTTTCATTGTTGTTACAGCTTAATGGACAGTTGAAAGAATGGATGAATAGTTATGCAATTGTCCTGGGCAAGGTGCTAGTTTAAAATGTACTTACAGTGGTTGCTGACTTTTTATTCATTACAGTTTTAATATACTTAGCAGAGCAAGGCAAGTGAAATCTTGTTTTGAAAACACCCTAAAGACAAAACAGATACATGAAATCCCTTTGATCTATCAGAAAGAGGGTTGAGCATGCACTCTACTCTTTAACAAAGAAGTCCTGACAATACCAAAATGGGAGGGTCTGCAATTCATAATGTGTCTGCCATGTACATATGAGCATGTGCAAAATCAGCTTTTGTTGATTTCTTCTCCCTTTCTCCCCCCAGTGGAGCAACAAGAAGGAACAAACTGACTGTGAAAGAGATCAAGTCTCTTTGCTTGAATTAATGTTATCATTAACATTTTGTTGCTATCCACAGGGAGCTGCTTTCCTTCAGCTTCTTTCCGTCTTTGTTTCAGTGGATCCAGTAGGCCCTTCTCAGTGACAGTACACTCATTGGTAATGGGTCCAGATTCACACAAAGAAAGAAAATCAGGTCAGGCACTGGCTGTTACATGACTTTGTGTGGGTGGCTTAAGGGAAGCAATGTGCCAATGGTATAGCTGGGCATCACATCCCTTTGAGCTGGCAGGATAGTAGCAAGCTTGGGATAGAATAGCATGGTGCATGGCATGGTTCAGCTCCTGACCACTTGTTGAGAGGTATGCTTCCCTTAATTTTCTTCAGCACACACGGCAGCTTCTTACACTGTTGGGGGTATGACAAAAGCATTTTTTATCCTTTTTAAAAAGTCCTTTTTAAAAGATAGCATCTTCATGGAAAACCAGGGAGACAGATTATTGTGCCTGATGCTCCTGAGGTACTCCTGAGTCTCTGGGCTTATCCAAAGATATAGTAATATGCCTAGTTCAGCCCCATTCTAGAAATGCCTCCCAATTATTTTATACTGCTTTTCTCCCTCTAAGCTGGGTCCCTCAGATACCTCCCAAGCTGAACTGTGTGATGCTTGTGTGAAGGGATCTTATGAAAAGAGTTGTGGTAAAGAGCTTTATGGGGAACAAATTACTCTAGAAAGCAAACTTTGTAAACTTAAATAGCTCAAGTACCCGCCACAAGTGTTTCTGGATTGCATAATAGTTCCCCTGCTATTGGAAGGGCCCTTAAAAGGGTGGGGGGCAGTTTGGGATCCAGAGCCTAGAAGGAATGGCCTATCAACGGTGTGAATATTTAACAAAAGTATGGTGGTGTTAATATCAGTATCTATTTGTTGCACTAATATTTTAACCACAACCGCATATTAAAGAAAGAAATTAAAGTCTCAAATTACTGTATGAGTTAACTTTTGAAATTAAATATAGGATTTTTCCTGAGGTGGATCCTTTCAGAAACATTGTTATAGAGAGATGGAGGAAGGACAATTTGAAGACTCAGATGAAAGTGGCAGGATAACAGACTCTTTCAAGGTTGCTATGTAGATTACACACAGGTAAGAGAAAGTATTTTGCTAACAAATGAGGTGTTGAAATACCATGGGAAGTATAGGAGGAGACAGCCAAAGAAAGAGGGACGTCACAGGCTGCTACAGCACAATATACTGCTAGGCAAACTACAGGAACCAAGATCACTCACAAAGAGTTTTTATCAACTCCTGCCTGAAGACTTGGTGGCACTTTTCAGCAAGCCATGATCAAATCAATCTCCTGAGTTTGAACAACAACCCATTGTGGATATAATAACCACTAAAAGAAGTCATAGGTTGTAGGGATTCTTATTCATTAAAAGTAAGCCACACCCACTTGACATGCTAGGTTGGATTAGACGAGACCCTTGTGAGTAGCTGCCTGCAATAGCTTCTCATGATATGGGAACCAAGTCAGTCCAGCCATCTAAAAATTTCTAGCCATTGTACTTTTAGATGCTTAATTAGACATATCTGCAGATTGGATCTGCCCCCCGCACCCATACTTGTTTGCTAGATGTGGATAATGGAGATGCCCTTTGCCTAGGTATGGTGGGATTTGTTAATTTTAATTTAGTGTTAATCTAATTGAACTGACAATGGTAGAAACATTTATCTTTCTACTATTTTGGGACCCTTCCATGCCCATATTATAGCATAATCCTTTGAATTCTTATATAATGAAGCTAACTCCCTATATGTCCTTTAAGGATTATATCTTTAGCATTAATTTGATATCCACCAAGTGGCTGTGGCTAAATTGAGCCAGCTTCATTACCCTTGTGCCAATGCAATATTAGTAAGATGCACTAAATTACTTGTGCCTTCTATGACTTGCTGTTCCTTTTGTTTTAGAAAGCAGTCTTCCTGAAGGGTTTAATTTTTAAGTGATATACTTAAAGAACTTAAACTGTTTTGTCTTATTTATTATTTATTTTTCGATTTATATCCTGCCTTTTTCCTACAAAGGGCTCAAGGCAGCTTACATCTCCTCCTCCATCTTATCCCCACAACAAGTACTCTGTGAGGTAGGTTGGGCTGAGAGTCTGTGACTGGCCCAAAGTCACCCAGTTGGCTCCATGGCTGAGCAGGCACTAGAACCCAGATCATCTGAGTCCCAGTCCCATGCTCTTAACCGCCACACCACACTGGCTCCCACACCACACTTATCAAAAGCTCATTAGTACCTGATTTTAATATTTAATTTGGCTTCATTTGCACATAAATCATAACAATATTTCCCTTTTTGTACTCTAGCTGCATCCTACCCCACCCATTGGGATGTTTGTTTTGCATTCAGGGAATAACCTTTGGCCCAGTACAACTAAGTCTCTACGTTGGTTTCCAGTCAATGGAAGGTTGATCCTGTTCAGTCTCCTTGTATCACTGGAGCAGCTATAAAGAATGGACTTTGGCTACTTTCATCCTCCAGATTTAAGGCACTTAGTGAGTTCTGAGTCTGAGCTGTTATGTGAACAAGCTGAACTTCCTTTGCTGACCATAAAAAAATCCATGTCTGGCTGTGGTCACTCAGAAGGTTTGTGCTGGCCAGCTGTGCTCTGCCATCAACAAACCCTGGCAGCATGGTATCACTGTATAATCATTGCAGATATTGCACACAGCTTTCTGTATATGTGTGTACCAACCTTGCAGGAAAGCTCTCTGATCTTGTGTTCACATACTTGGAAGTGAGGGTACAAATAGATATTATAAAGCATTCTGCACCTATGGTTGAAACAATTTTTCATGCCATGAATCCCTGCAGTGTTTCAGTCACATATTACTCTCATAAACAGATGTTTACAATTAGGTGCTGCTCTCAGTAGGGAAACTTATCTTTCTGTCATGTGTGCATGCATGCGTGTGAGACTGAAAGAAAAAGAGGTGTTTTTCTAAAATCTCTTCTGTAGACAGTTTTTTAAAGATAATTGTTGAGGTGTATACCTTGTTGTTAAAATTTGGATTGGGCAGAAATTCCTTCCCTGAGGTTAGTTTCCCAAGGAAATATGCCTTTATTAGAGAATTTCTTTTGTCAGGCTGAAGAGCTTATTCTGATAATCTTTATTCCTTCCCAGCATAAAATTGGGAGGTGGGAAGCTATTTGTGACAGAACTAGCAAGGGTCTGTCTTGCAAATCTCTTGTGCTAGTAAGGGTAACCAATTTGCATTTGGATAATCAATATGCTGCTGTTACCTAGAGATGAACTCCAGACTTGAGCATCCTGGGTTGCCAGAAGTGATGGTTCTGGGAATTAAAATAACTCTTGTTAAAAGAAAGGGGCAGAATACAGATTTTTGTTTGCACCTTTCAACGGCACGTAGTCAACCACATCTTCCTCGAGTGAAGATTTTTCTATTCAGAAGACTAACAAAACGCATTCTTGGCTGAAAAGAGACTGTAGGTCGAGTTGTCCCCTTGCCGTGTCTGGTGACATCTGTATGAGACAGGCGTTCCATAGGTGAAGTTGCTCCCTGTTCTTGCGGATCGCCCTTCCAGAGAACCGGCCATGCCGACTTCCGTTGGGAAGCAGCCGCGGTCGCCCCCTCAGTGCAAGCGTGGAGAGAAAGGGACGGCATCCCCAGGGATAGGTCGTCCTCTCACATTTTGCACAAGCGGACCACGAGAAGCCCGCGGTTGGATTCGCGTTTCCTTCCCCGGTTTGGCGCCTGCGTGTGTGCAGCGGATGTGTGAGGCAAGGGGTCGCCGCTGGACGGCTCCGCTCTCCCGTCGGCCGCCCTCTCCTAAATAAAACCTCGGGCGGAAAAAGGACGGGACCGCCGCCTCGAGCCTGAGGCCGCGGCGGCTCAACAAAGGGGCCAGGTGGCGCCCCTCCCCCATTGTGGCGTGGGCGTCGTTGCCAGGCGCCGCTCGCGCCCCGCCCCCCGCCGCCCCGCCCGGCCCTGCCGGCGGCGGAGTTTCCTTGGGGCAGTAGTGGCAGCTGCTGGGCGCCTCGTAGCCGCGTCGCGCGCCCTCTCGCTCACTCTCTCTCCCTTCCCTCTCGCCGCGCGCTCTCGGGGGGGAGGGCGGACCCAGCCGGTTCCGAGAGTCTGCGGAGCGAGCGAACCAGACACGTGCGCGCCGGGCATAGTCGGCTCAACCGCCCGAGAGCAGCGGCGGCGGCGGCAGTAGCAGCAGTAGCAGCAGCAGTAGCAGCAGGATGGAAGGGGACCGGCTGGAACCCGCCGTGAGTGTGGTCTTGAGGGGGGAGCGCCGGGATGCAGCGGCTTACCTGAGAAGGGGAGCTTGCAAGAGTGGGGCTTTGGCTTCTCGTTCTGGATGTAACGCGAACGAGATGATCCCGCTGATCATCTCCTGTCGCGGTTGGAAGGGAGGCAGTCGAAATACCTCCTTTCCTTCCCTTTCGCCGCCCCTCTCCACTCACCCACTTCCCCACTCAAATGTCTCAGTTGCAAGAGCAGTATTTTTCTCCAGTCTCTTCCGCCTCTCTCAGCGTTTTCTTGTAGACTTGATTTCTGCCTATGGTCTAGCCAGATTCCCTCCCCGCCCCTCTACATGAAGGCTGATTCCTCTTTCTCTCTCTGTTTGCTTTAACACATACACGCAAGACTCGGAGACTTGGGTGTGTTGTACCATGCGCCAGAGGTTTGTGCAAACTCATTCTGCTGCAGCGGCTTACCATTTGGTGGACTCTATCCCTGGGAGGAGCTGTCATTGCTCCAGTCTGAGCAGGGTTCCCTTCGAATCCATAAAGAATCTGTGCTGCTAGGGTGAGATGGGATCAGGACAATGACATTTTGTTTGTGTCTGAGACTGACAGTCTGTGAGAACTAATCAGGCAATCATGGATGCTCTTTACACATGTTGGGATGTGATCAGTCTCCCAGTTGGTCACTGCATACCTGCACTGAAGTAGATATGTGTGTAGAAGTCTCACCTGTGGCAATTCATAAGGGAGAGTGAGTAGCTGACTGAGGGAAAAATATGACAGTGAAAATCTGACTGATTTTTCAGAGTTAAGAACTGTTGCCTGCACCTCATGTTCATTTGGGATAATATTTATTTAATATGTTTATATCCAGCCTTTTAGGGCAAAATCTCCCCTGAGTCAATAAAATACATATGACACAACAAAGCATAAAACTAGACCTGTAAATTAATTGAAACATTATTATTTATTTTATTGCATACTGCCCCATTAGCTTGCAGGCTGTCTGGGTGGTTTGCAATTTTAAAAATCATATATACAATTTATAAAATACTCATTTTAAATAAACAATGCAACAAAGCACCAACCACAGGACAACAGCTGTAGCAGCCATAATAATTTAATCCACTGGCGCAACTGCACGTAATAATATTTAAATGGATGCAGCAGATGATAAAGCACTATGTAAAACTAGCACAAAAAACCTTAGCTATTAAAATAACTGGAAAATGAAAAGGTTTTTCACCTGGCACTGAAAAGATGGCAAGGATGGCACCAGGCATACCTTGGTGAGCATATTTTAGAGACTGGGTGTCACTACTGAAAAGTCCCTTCCCCTGGTTGCCACCCCCTTTCTTGTTTAGGGGGCGGTTCCCTGAGTAGCACCTTGGCAGATGACCTTAAGGGTTGGGTAGAAATATATGGGACGTATGGGCATTCCTTCAGATAACTTCATGCCAGGCTGTTTAGGGCTTTAAATGTGAGAACAAGCACTTTGAAATGGGCCTGGACTTAAACTGGTAGCCAGTGTAACTCATCGCAACAAGATACCCTGGGTAACTGCCATTTAATCAAATTGGAGGCAGAATAAAAATGTTGTCAAGCTATACATGAAGGATCATAAACATTTTCCGGCAAAGGAAGCATTTCCCAGCACATGATGCCCCCACTGAACAGGTGCTGTCCTTTATCCGCCCCCCCTCCCAATCTGGAGAGCAGAATCTCTGGGCCATTTTTGGGGTTGTGCAGACAGGTGGTCTTTCAGGTAATTTGGTTCTGAACTGTTTTGGTCTTTAAATGGCCAAACAAGTGTTTTAAGTTTAACCTAGAAATTGAATATACAGCCAATGCAACTGGTAGAGAATTGGTGTTATATGATCGGAACACTTGAGCCACACAAGCATCATGGTAGCTGCATTTTGTATAAGCTAGTTTCCAAACTCTCTTTAAAGACAACCCCATATACATAGCATTGCAGTAATTTAGTCTGGTTGTAACTAAAGCTAGGTCTGTTTGGTTCAGAAGGGGTTATAGATGGTAAGCTGCATTTTTGACCATCAGAACCACTATGCCTCTGCAGATAGCTCCAGATCTAAGAAAACCTCCACACTGCTTGCATGGCTCTTTGAGTAATGTAATCCTGTCAAACCAAATGTCAACCCTCTGTCTGAATCAGACGTTTTCATGACCAGCTGTTTTAATTTTCTATCCCCTCTTCCATAGAAGAACTGCCTCCAAACACTTATCTACAATTTCTTTTGCCTGCCTGGAATTTTAAGATAGGGAAGAGTGGTAGAACTTGTGCCATCTATATTGAGGGTACCTTGGCCAAAATCTGTGAATGACTTTCCTTAGCAGTCTCCCGTAGATGTTAAAAAGCATAGAAAACAAGATATATCGGCTGCTTATGACAGGATTGAACAGGTCTCCCAGTATCACCTCCTGGAAGTGTCCCTCCAGAAAAGATTGAAGCTGCTATTGTGCCATGCCCATAAGTCCCACTTTGGAGAAGTGACCCAGAAAGATCCTGTGGTCATATAACAAAAGCTACTGAAGGGTCCAGGAAAACCAAGAGGATTGTACTCCTTGTCTTTCCTCTGCTGTAGATCCTCTACTGAGGCAACTAAGGTGGTTTCCATCCCAAAACCACATCAAACCAAACAGAACCATTTTAGGGAAGCAGTATCATCAAGTACTGATTATAGTTGCGACATATTTACTCACAATATTTTGTTTGCAAATGGTAAACTATATTGCACAATAATTTTTAAATGGGCAGAATGAACCACCCTGCCCTTTAAGAAGCTGTTAATGGTCTCTGCAGTCCAGTTAACCTTGGCTTGCCTGATTTTACATGCTTAGAAGGGCAAGATTCAGTATGTGAATGGCAGATCTCAACTCTTCAGACAGCCTGTCCATGTCATTAGGCTGCACAAATGATAGGAAATATTTGACAGTAACATACCAACAGTGTGGATTGAGTACATCAAAGAAGTTGGTGGAAACACCCATTTAAGATGAAGAAAGTAACCCTTGACTAACTTTTCCCTATTGAATGCTGTTGAGTAAATAACCCTGAGTTGATGGCATACTATCAGCATGTACCTACATCAAGGGTGATCATTGTTGAACTATGACTGCTGTTCAGGATGCTTCTAAATTCCTTGGCAGACAAGCAATGGTACAGAAGAAATGAGTTTGTACAGCTCTATCCTAACCCTTTCAGCTATCATCTTTCTAGCCAGTGTGTTAAGGACTAATGTTCAGTGCTAACTCTCTTCCTTTTGTCTTTGGATGAGTGAAAGGTGAAGCTTTTGTTTCTAGAAGATGAATACAAGATTGATCATCTCTTTGGTAGCCCATTTCACAAAGCACTATTCCAAAAAGCAAAGAGCTGAGCATTGCAGAGTCTGTCTCCTAATTTATTCAACCAGGCTATAACTTATTCTGACTGAACGGTAACTGGGACAAGCATCTCTCTTTTCTAACAATGTGCTTTCTTGTTCTTCAGATTTCTTTTGGAAGAGAGCAAAGCAAACTGCTGCATGCACACTAGAGTGTTCCTATTGAAGGGGCAAACAGTTAATTTCACGTGTATTAGTTATCAAAATATAAATTCTCTGAGCACTACAAGGAAATAAAATTAGTGCTGTCTTGGAGTTACATGTAATAATGAAATATTTTAAGAATATATATTAAAACAGTAATATAACATGATGTTTGTTCCCATGTTTCTGTGCATTCTTCTTATGGTATTTGCTGCCATACCATGGCATCTTGGTGAAAGTGCACCCTACAGGATAAAGCTTAAATAGAGCTTTATTTTAAATAATCCTTTTGATAGGAAATTTCTTTTATACTTTCTGTGGTATTATTATTTGCTACTGAGTATCATAGTGGAGAAGAGAGATCTTGCAATATTAAACATGAATCCAGAGGTACAACTTGTGGCTCGAAGCTGAAGCAGAATTGACCAGAAGGGAGGAGGACTTCAGTTAATTAAAGTTCGTGAATACTTGCTTACAGGCTTGTCAGCAGAAGGTTGAGCACTGTCCTAATGGAAGATAATTTAATTCTAACATTCTCTAAATAGACAGATGCAAGAACACCATGCTTATTGTTGTGTTAATTCAATGCAGATGGTAAATACGTCTATAATCATAGATCATACTTGGAAGCAGGATTCACTGGTGTTAATGGGCTTATTCTTGAATATGTAAGCATAGGATAGCAGCCCTTATTTTATTACTTCTTAATAATCTGAAAAACATTTAATAGTTTTATAAGCAATTTTCCAAAGGACGTGTTTGCACGTGAGTTCTGGACTTATTTTCCTTCACCAGCATTCAGGAAAGTGTGAAAAGGCTGATGCAATGGCTTGTTTAGTAGTGTAACTCAATTTTATAGAGCAAGCGATTGAACAGAGAGTAAAATTTCCAAAGCTCAAAAGGAACCACCCAACCTTTTAATAGGATTCATTCATATTTGACTAGCAGGGAAAATCTATATAGATCAACTTAGAAATAACTTCCACTGAGGTCAGTGGGTTAGGGTTTCCACATTTTTCTCCTTATTTATGCTGGTTTAGTAGTGCTTCCTACTTTGCCCATACCATTAATTTAAAGAAAGATAAATATCTCTGGCCTTCTACAGAGTGTATTTTAACTACAGTCTCTTCTGGTGCACTTAGATTTAAGGACTTCCTTCCAGCGCACATAACCTTCCATACAAGCTGGAACACTGTCCTTCTACCTTTCTTGACAACAGTCTGATAAAACAGTCTGATCACCCTTTCCAATGTTTTAAAGAGTATATTGGAGTTCTCATATTATCAGTAAAACTTATAATAACACTTCATTCTTTACTGTATCACTTTTTGCAATGCTAAATCAGAACATCAAAACTATTGGCTATCTTTTGTTGTTATATGCAAGTATTTTCCCAAATGAGCCTTATGTTGTTGTTCTAGAAACTGAAGCTTAAACTGAAAAAGTTACATGAATGTCTTTCCATTTTTTTAGGTGATCTGATAGACATGACATGCCTTTTTTAATATGTATGAGAGTAGTCATCTTGCTTTTTTATTTTTTCACTCCTGTCTTTTTTCCTTACAGGTTACCATTAAGAACATTGAACGAGAGCTCATCTGCCCAGCATGCAAGGAGTTATTTACCCATCCACTTATTCTTCCTTGCCAGCACAGTATCTGCCACAAATGTGTAAAAGAAATTATGTACTTCACGCTTGAAGATTCATTCAATGATGCTGCCTCAGAGACTTCCAGTCAAAGTAGCCCTCGTAACCGAATGCATTCCCCTAGCTTGGATAGACTTGACAGGGTTAATAGATCAGGTATGTTTGATTAGCACAGAATTTGAGTTGCAAAATGTTTTCTGAAGTAGTTAGTCTAGTTTAAAAATGTAACAAAATGTCTTGTTCTATAGACTTACTTTTATGATTGACAAAATGTTCATAGAATGTTAGCTTTCCAATGAAGTAGATTTTACTTGTATACTGAATGCTTTTCTGGTAAGTTTGATTGCTTGCTTGCTTTAAGTAAATAGGCTTAGTTTGCACTGTTGTATTTCACTGTGGGTTATTTAACCCCTTCTTGGGGGAATGTCATGACTTCTAGACCTGGCTGTTGACCTACCCAACCTACAAACCTATTTGTAGGTTTTTAGAGCTCCTTGGATTCCATGTTTGCCTGTATTGTCCAAAATACATAGAGCTGAAAATATGTCCCATTTGTTTTTGTAATACATTCCAAGAAAATGTTGTTAATCTCAGTTATGGTATCTGGTTTCCCCAAATCGGTTATGGTTTCTACTGTGTATGTGGCGTAAGAATTTTTCATCGAACTGCTACTGAATTCTTCTTAGAGCTTTGAGAGGCTATATGTCTATCCAATCTAAGTACTGCTTGCTCTGATTAGTAGTGGCTTTGCAGGATCTTTCATGTCAATAGCAACCTAATCCTTTTAACTGAAGATACTAAGAGTTGAACATGGGACCATCTGTATACATGTTCTGCCACATGTTACGGTCCCTCTTTTGCAACAGGATTCTTCCTTAGCTTACTCTTGATGGACTGAAATTAAATTTTAGTAGCATTGTACTGGGGTAGACACCATAACTGAATAATATAGTCAAACTTCATGTTTTTAATATAATTTCCATGACTATTTGCATTTATGAAACTGTTGCTTAATAAATGCATGCATGCTGTCTTTGAATACGAAGTTACCAGTCACCTATGCATGGGAAGCAAGTCTGCAGTTCTGTTGTTTTATGGAAATCATATTTTCATTACCAAATAATCAATGCTTGAATCTAACAATTACATTGTGTAATTTAAAATAAATTATGTATTAAAATAGGAAGGACATTATATTGAGTATGCCATAGTAAATGAGTACAAAATCCTTTTCAGTTTTTATAAACAATTCTCTATCCATTGTTTACAGCCTCACAGAGGAGGTCTCTTGGGTGGAGAGGTAGAATGCTTCACTTTTGTATGGCTGTAGATAGTAGTTGGTAGTATTTGGACTTTATCATACTTATGTTAGACCCTTAGTGATTTTTTAAAGTATCAGTGGTCAAGTCCAAGATTAGCAAGCAGATATATGTAACAATATAGAGGAAAATTTATTTTTTTGGAGTAGATTGAATGGTCAACTGGATTCAAGTGATACCTCTTATTGCATGGTTTTAAATGTCAATTCAAATAAAACATTACACCCAGAAATAACTAATAAGTGGTTCTGATGCAGGTGAAATAACAGCTTATTAATATTGGTGGAAATATTCTCTTTTGACACAGTGGCTTCATTTTTAAAAATACTGATGTAATTTGTTGTATGCAGGTGAAAATTGTGATGTAATATATTCTGATCTACTGCATCCTATTGTAGAGGAAAGTAATATAGTAGTTAATGTAGTGTAGAGTATATTAATTTGTGGTTCTCAGTAGAATTAGGTATTCTCAGTTTGCCTAAACAAGCGCTTAGTCTCTGGAAGAGTAGTACAGTATTGCAGTACTGTTTCTAGCTCAAGGATAATAAAATAGCATTTATAATGTTTGAAAAGTTATTGCCAGCCCTTTCTCCATATGCTACCACTAAAATTCTTTGGGTTGTTAGAGATGTAATTCTAAATCAAAGTTTAATATTACAGGAATGTGCATACTTCTCTTGGAGGTGTGTGCTCTCCATCTGACTTGGTCAAAAGGAGGAGTTTGATTTTTTTTTTCACTTCTGTTTATGATTTACTTGAATGAACCATGAATGATCATAGCTATGGTTAATGAAAACAAGCCATAGTTTATGAAGTTGGCTTATTTTCATTAACCATAGTTAATATTATCTATGGTTTAGGGCTTGGACAACATGCTAAACGGTTGTTCATCTAGAATAGGAGCAGAAGCTTATCGTTTCCTTTTCATAGCCGTGCCAGACAACAGGGAAGCAGGAGCACAGAAAGAAACAAAAGTACCTTTGTGTTGCATGGCTGTACTTGTGGGAGTTGCCACTCCTGCATCAGCTGAGGAGTGCTCCTTTCTGTTCAGTTAGTGAATTGTTAATTTTTTTCTTGAAAGCTCCATGATACTTTCCTTTACAGTTTCTATTCATCATAATAAATTACTCTCAAGGCAAAAATACCACGTTTGAAAATACAGAGAGATACCAAAGATTTGCATTGCTGCAGATGCAGGTCTCTTTTTAAAGTTAGTTTGTGAGGAAGAACGCATTTTACAAATATAGGAATACAACTGAAAAATTCTTTCAATACTTGAATGAGTAAATTTTATTTGGAATAAACTTTTATTTAAAAGGAAAACAAGTGGACAAAATTAAGATAAAGATGTGCCTGATACTGCCTAATCTTGGAAGCTATGCAAGGTTAGGCCAGGTTGAAATCTAGATGGGTAACTTAAAATACTGTGAACTGCTCAGAATGCTTTGGCTACAAGTGGTACAGAAATGTAATGTAGTAGCGGTAGTAGTAGTAGTAGTAATAATAATACTTAATTCATTCAACACTTTTACATCCGGGCTGTAACTTGATGCTTGTCTGTCTCAAAGATCCCTAAGCAAATATTTTATCTAAGAAAAGGTATTCACTTGTGAACTTTACATAAATCCAGTTGACTTTGAACAAGATGTTTTTAAAAACTCCCCCCAGAAATTTGATTTTCCTTTATTATACTGGTGATATTGCTGTATTCAAAATTTTTTATCAAGACAATGATGTATTATCCCTTTTCTGGTACTTTTGCTATGGTAAATCATACATTTAAGTATGGAGATTGTTTTCTCTTAAGCAAAAGTGATGTTCTCAAGCAGAATTTATTCTAGACACATGCAGCTCACAGCATATAGGTGCTGGATTGGAGTTATTGCTATTGCTAGTCATGTGAAAAACAGATAAAGATAGTGGGGACTGATTTTGCAGCCAGAAGTTTAAAAAGCTGTTTCTGCATCTATGTAGATGGAAACAGATGCTGAGCAGAATACAGTTTCCCCCATATTTTATTGATTATGTACTACCTTTCTATTAAAGGTCAAAAACAGCAGCTAGAATTGGCCTGAAAAGATACTGTGAGCCATAATATGAACTGGAATATTGAGTTAGGAATAGTATTGAAGACAAAGGCAAATGAAAAATGAACAGTTCATATTAGTTATTTTATGTTTTCCAATAATTTTATTGTCAAAATCAAATAATGGTTCACAAACAAGTGTCCACTTGCCTCCCTGCTAATTACAGCTGATGGGAAATTCTGTCAGTACTCATTAATTCTAAATAAATAATATTCTTTTGCATCTGTGTGAATGGTGGTAGAATGCCATGTAAGAGCATAGACAGAGTGATGATACCTAGACTAAATGAAAAGGGATGGGACATCTTAGAACTACTGGATTTACTAGTCATAAGCATGATGTCACCAGTATGTATATAAAAGTGTTTTCATTATCATGCTTTTTCTTATTTTTAACTAATTAAAGTTTTGTGTCATCTAACTTCATATTTAGTTTGAATGATAAGGTTCACACCTGTTGACACATCAAAAGCATGTTTCTAGTCATGCATTTCAGATTGCATTATCTAAACTTGACCACTGCACCATATATAAAACTTACTTTATATTTTGTTATTTACTTTTGTCTGCTTCATTGCCATTTGTAGATTGAATGGTATGAATTCAAGTGATGGTTGCCTGCTGCATTAGTCATAAGACTGTTTTTATGGAATCTGCCTGTAATTGCATGTTATGCTTCCCTCTTGCTTAAATCTTTAAGACTGGAATCCTACACTTACCTGGAAGTAAAATCTGTTGAACTTAATTAGATATGCTTGCACTCTAAGTTCCTTAAAATCTGCCTAGAATATATTTCAAAAATGTATTGCATGTCTGTCTTGTTGCAGGGCATGTGATTTTTGTGCTTTAATTTGCTTTAAGTACCAGCATACTTTGATAATTTGTGATCAAGTTATAAATGTTCTAGTCACTGCGTTTGCACATTTTCCAATGACTGAGAATAGGCATCTTTCTGAAGGTCTGCTAGAGTTGTATATAGGAAAAGTTGCTTTCATTGCTTTATCATTGGTAATTCACAAATGTGAAACTTTCAGTCCTGACAAATATGAAACTTTCAGTCCTGATAAAACTACTAGAAAACATTATACAAATATTTTTCCTCAATAAAATCATCCATATTAGTTAAGTCTCTTATAGGGCAGAGTCTAAAGTTTCCTTGCCTTTTGAATTAGAGGGTTCTTTTGACCCAACTCAGTGTTTTTAGAGAACTTTTGAACTAGGAAAATTTGCACTACTTTATACTTGGCATGTTTTAACCAGCTGATTTGAGTGTAATTGTGTGTGGTTTTTAATGTATATAGATATATATAAAGGTACTAGATGCATGTATAAATTTCTGGAGTGTATATGATCACTGCATAATCTTGAGAATGGACTGAATTTGACATCCTGAGATCCTCAGTTTCATTATTTAAAGAACCAGAACTTTTAGAGCTGTGGAAAAAAGTTGAAACAGTGAAATATTAGAACCCATAGAGCTTTCAGTATTTTGTACAACTTCTTGATTTGTATATCAGGAAGCTACCCATATTATCTCTAGGTCTTCTGTTCCTCTCACTTAGCTCATTGACTTTATTTGTCTAATTCTCCTTTTTGAACTGAAGTAGTAATACTATTACTACTACAACTACAAATACCAACAATAATAATCTGAATTTCTTGAAAATTAGAAAGCAACATTTAATTATGCAAAGTAAATGAAAGTAGGATAGACTTCTGTAAACCTTGACACAAAATTTAGGCTGTTGCATTTTCGGTGGAAAAAGTGATTTTGCCTTAGCACAGAGATCTTGTAGCTTTAACTATGTGTTATGGGTTTCATATTTAATATTTAAAGAAAGTGCTGTTCTAGACAAGCCAAGTTCATGTTATTAAAACTGAATTAAAACCCAGCTATTAAAGATATCATCTTTTTCATTTGCATGATAAACATGAGTTCCTATCTGTAATTCTAAATCATGGCAGCTTTGGAATAGAATACAATTTAAACAATTTCCCTTCTGTAAGGTCATGAATTTCAGCATCCAGACTTAGGATTCAAAGTATCTTCTTAAGAATTGTGGTTCTTTAATTTCTACCCCTTTTTCTTTCTTGTGCCCAGCATGCATTACAACCATATTACTGTTATTATTTACTAAATGTATGCATTGCTTCCCAACACAAAGAGCAGTCTTTTGCACACACAACAATCTGTGATTTAACAGGAAGAGTTACTATAACAGAAACAAAATAAAATCAATATAAACTATAATCAGCCCAATAATAAAAGTGAAACACCATAAAAGTTGGATTCTGGACTCGCCTTCTGCTAGAGGAAGGACTTCAGTCTCAGCAAATTTCTCCACTTAATTTGGTGAAATACCCTTCCCTTCCTCACCACTACTCAGCCCATTCAACATGTCCTTTTGACCATTTGCATACCATTTTGAGGGGGCCAGAGGGCTGTTGTGAGAAGGGGGTGATGTCAGTGCAGTAGTTCCAGGACAAATCTGAATCCAACTGATAATATAAAGCAAACAGACTACAATACATGTTCATCCATAATACAAAATCTTCCCACTATACAGATTATTCAAGAACTGTAGTAGATGATCCTGGGAATTGAGGAGCTATGAAGGAAGCTTCAGGTTAAGCAGAAATGAACAAGCTCTTCCCATTTCCTCATTCATTTTCCTTGAATTATATACTTTCAGGCATGGTAGTTATTAGACAAAACCATTCATCATTTTACAAATTAATAAAAAGTTTGTCGAAATAGGAAACACCAAGCATTTAACATAGTTTATATGTTTGCAATGATTTAGGAATGTATTCATTTAAGACCATATTTATAGTTTTACCTGTCAAACTATTTTTAAAATTGTACTGCAACTAAGACAGGTTCTGCCATCTACACAGGTTGGAAACGCAATTCTTTGACTCCTAGACCAACTGTCTTCCCTTGTCCTGGATGCCGGCATGACATAGACCTGGGAGAGCGTGGCATCAATGGCCTATTTCGCAACTTCACCTTGGAAACTATTGTAGAGCGATACAGGCAGGCAGCAAGGGCAGCAACAGCCATTATGTGTGATCTCTGTAAACCACCAGCACAGGAATCCACAAAGAGCTGCATGGATTGCAGTGCCAGTTATTGCAATGAATGCTTCAAAATACATCATCCCTGGGGAACTGTAAAAGCCCAGCATGAATATGTGGGGCCAACTACCAACTTCAGGCCTAAAGTAAGTATGTTTTCCTTCCCCCAGTATGTGTTGCAACTGGCATCTCTGTGTGAGAAACAAAGTAAATGAAGATGATGCATTTTGAGGACAACTGAAAAATTTAATCCTCAAGTGAGAATTTTAATGTAAAGCACAGTGCTGAATCAGTTTTATTTTGAAATAGTATAACATAGTGGTCTAGAATAATTCATAATACTATCTTCAAATACTGTCAAATATTGCAAATCCAGCAATAACTTAAATTCCTTTTAGGAATTACCTATGTTAATATAATATTCTCAGCAATTTTATATTTAGGTTTGGTATTTCCATATTAAATATAGTTTATGCTGAATTGCAGTTTTAGGTATGATATGTTCACTCTGAAAACTTAAGTATCTAATATTTTCCATAGCCCAATAATATTAAGACTGATGGGCAGAAGCTTTTTCAAGGTTTCACTCAGGAGTTTTTCCTAGCCTTCCTGGAGATGCTACGGATTGAACTGTGACCTTCAGCATGAAATACTTGTGTTTTACCCTTGAGCTATGACTCTTCCAGGTCTCACTGCTCAGCTCTAGTTTAGTTTGCAGGTGGGGCTTTATCTATCCATGAGAGAATGGTTCAATTTATTTAAAAAAATGGATTACTTTAAAAAAGATCAACTTGACACCAAATCAATTTTCACATCATACTGTGACAACCTTTGATGTCAAGGAAAAGAAGATAATCCAGAATCCCAATGGCTGCTACCTGTTTTAATTTTTTATTTGACTTCTGAAGTCTTAAATGACTGTAAGCTTCCCAGCATTACTTTCATGCATACAATATATGGATGTCTTTATCAGTAATCTGCAAAGTTGGAAAGGCTACAGATGTATAGATGTGAGGATGAATAAGAATAGTTCTTTACCTAAGCATCTGTTTAATGAAATCTGAGATTAAATTTGCTGTATAGAACATGTATGTTAGGCTATATAGTTTAGAAAAACAAATGAAGTTATTTGCTGTGTTTTATTATGTTCCAAATTTTTATTCCCTAGATGGTTAAGAATTTATTTTCAAATTCCATCTTATGAATCATTGATAGTTGCATCCATTTATGATTGTCTTTATCTACACCAAGCCCTAAACATTGACTTGAATAGAAAGAACCATGAATGCCATTGTATAAATTGAGTGGGGAACCTATGGTCCTCTAGAACAGCAGTTTTCAAACTTTTTCAGTCATGGAACCTTTCTGAAGACTTTTTTTTCCTGCAGAACCCTAACTCTATCCTTGATTTTTGCCAAGCATTGTGAACCCACAGTGTTCTTCCTTCTTTTATCTGCTTCTATTGCCTGAATGCTTTGTATAATGTAGTAGGTTTGGAAATAGAGAAAACATTTTAAATATAACAAATGAATAAAATGATTATATGGTAATATCCCAAATGAATTATTTTGATTATTCCCAACCCTACACAATAGAGTCCTAGGAATCAAATGATGTGATGAATTTCCTTGTTTGCTGCTTGGAGGCCAGTTGACAGTTGAATAGTTGGCCCTGTCTGGTTTCATTTAAAATTTTGTTTTAAATTTGATTTTTTCGCAGAGCCCCTACAAGGCTTTTGTAGAACACTAGGGTTCCACGGAACACAGTCTAGGAATTGCTGCTCTAGAAGATGGTGGACTCTTTTCAATCCTAACCAACATGGCCAATGATTAGGGATGATCGTAGTTGTAATCTAACAACAGCTTGAGTTCTCTGATAGAAATGTAGCAGAGCTTTTTTTCTCCTGAAAAGCTGTTTCAGTGAGGGTGGAGAACCTTCCATAATGGGATGCAATATAGAGGACTATAGCCAGTGGCTGAGGTAGTCTGAAGGTACTCTGGTGTTCCACCTATGTGTGGAAGTGCCTTCTGTTCACACAAATAGATTTTTGTAAGCAAAGCTGTGTTGTAAAGTGAATAATGAAGGTTGATTTAGAAATCCTGTAATATGAGCTGGTGATCTTGAACTAGTTCCAATTTACAACACCTGTAAGATAAAAAGAAAGAAGATAGAATCTTGTAATAAGTGGAATTGTGTTAAGTGGCTTAATAATAAAATGTTAAATTCCATGCTTGTGGATTTTTAGTCAAATGTAATTATAATATCTCTCATTTCTGCTATTTATTTAGGAAAATATGGTAAGAAGCAGAGCAATCTACTAATGTGAAAACATCTTTATAACATGCAAAGCATGTAACTGGATGAAACAAAGAGCTTGCATCTGATATTTTATTAAGGAAAAGCAAAAAAAAAAAGAGGGGGGTGGCAAGAATGAACAAGCTTTTCCCTTCTGCAGGACCAGATGGCTTGTTTCTAGTAACAGTGTTGTGGTCGTTCATGCTTTCAGTTTATTATTGCTACCTATTACTCTCAAGCAGTTGATACTATCTACCATTGTTTCTTTCTAGTTTGGATCACTTGGAACCTATGAAGGCAGTGTTTTATTTTTCTGGAGAGTCAGTTCCAGATAGTAGTACTGGAGACAAACTGGGGGCAGTTTTGTTTCCCATGCTATTTAACATCTACATGGAACCCCCAGAAGAGGTCTTCCAAATATGAGGAGTGCATTGTCATTAAAATGCATCTCTGTTTCTCTCTCCATCAGATTACTGGGAAGCTCTTGATGCTCTGAAGTACTTGGAGGCAGAAATGGGCTAGATGAAGGCCAAAAAAATGAAGCTTAAGCTAGGCAAGACAGAAGTGCTCCTGGTCAGGAGTGGGACTAATCCTGTATTCCATCTGTCTTAGATGGGGTAACATTCCCCTTGAAGACATCCATCTTGCAGTTTAGGTGTATTCCTTCTTTTTGCTCAGTCAGTGAATTGTTGAATTTCTTTTAAAAAGTGTCATGAGGATAGCCTTAAACATTTCTATTCATTACAATTAGCCATTTTCTAGGCAGACATTCATGGTATTGATATGTTATAACATATGGCCAGCTTCATTGGAAAGAAAGCATTTTTAATACCTGCACACGTGCACACACCCCCACACACTGTTACTTTTTGATGGCTGCTAAACTTAGTAGTTTTAACGTATTTTTGAAATGAACTTTTACCTAATGTTGATAAGATAGAGCTGAGCTATGATAGTTAAATAAACTCATTTAATTGTTCGTGCTTTCCAAAAAGGTGTTTGTAGATAGAAAGATGAATAGATATATGGAAGTCTTGGAATAAATTACATTTATTTAATTTGTTCATATAGCCTAAAATATATATATTCAGTATATTCAGGCAGATAATAGCATATGTACTATACTGTATAATATTTATTAAATACATAAAATGAATTTAATTGGCCTTTCACACCTCACAGAGTGGTTTACAATAGTACAACAAACCTAACATCCCCTTATGGTTTAAATGTATACCTCCACACACCATTACTTAATGAACTCTGTGTTTCAAATGAAGACTGAAATGAATGTGTCTTCAGGTTGTTTTTAAGAGTTAGCAGTGATGAGGCCATAGGTATCTCCACGAGGAGCTAATTGTACAGAGGTGGAGCCACCAAAGCCTTATCTTTAGCATCCACTGGCCTAATGGCTGTTGCTGGTGGACTAGATCATAGAGCCTCTAATATTGATTTAAATGCTTTGGCAGGTTCATATAAATTTGGGTGATCTTTCAGATAATGTGTTCCTAAAGGCTTTAAATCACCTTGAATTGAGAATAGGTATCGAATAGACATGGCAAAGTATAGGAATAATAAGATCCCAGTGCCTGGCTTTTTGCTACTGCATTCTGTATCAGTTGCAGTTTCTGAATCATATGCAAGCACAACCCCATATGAAAATTCTATAAACGCATCTCCATGTAGAATGCATTACAGTAATCTAAACTGCATTTAACCAAAATATGCATACTGTTGCTAGACCAGCTTTCCCTAGATAGTGCTTCAGCTGCTGAACTAACCACCTGTTTTTCCAGAGGCTCAGCTAATTGGGTGGTGTATGAATGAATGAATAAATGAATAACTAAATCCAGAAGTATTCCCAGACTAAATCCCTTGCCCTTCAGGTGGAGTGTGGCCCCACCCAGAGTTGGATCTAAACATCCATCTAGAAAAGTGTAGGAGAGCCAGTGTGGTGTAGTGGTTAAGAGCATGGGGCTGGGACTCAGAGGATCTGGGTTCTAGTCCCCGCTCAGCCATGGAGCCAACTGGGTGACTTTGGGCCAGTCACAGACTCTCAGCCCAACCTACCTCATAGGGTTGTTGTTGTGGGGATAAGATGGAGGAGGAGAGATGATGTAAGCTGCCTTGAGTCCTTTGTAGGAAAAAGGCAGGATATAAATCACAATATAAATAAATAAATAAATTCTGTGACTTTGTTGGAAGTGCAGAATTAAGTACTTCATTACTGGGTAGTTGATGAAGTAAATCTTATCTGCTGATATTTCCTTATCAGATTCTGATGTGTCCGGAACATGAAATGGAGAAAGTAAACATGTATTGTGAAATATGCAGAAGACCTGTTTGTCATCTTTGCAAATTAGGTGGCACACATGCAAACCACAGGGTGACTACCATGAGCAGTGCCTATAAGACACTCAAGGTAAGTGGGAATGCTTAATTTTTTAACCTTTAACAAAGGAATAAGATGTTTGCTGAAAACATGTACAACCTAAGATTGCAGGCCTACATACAGGTTTATTTTGCAAATGTAGATGCAGTTTCTTAAAACAGTGTATAAGATATTTTGAGGGATTGTGCCTCACTGGTGATTGAAGCCAAAGTGTTAGATAGGGTGTTTGTACCAGGCACTTGTTCTTACAAAGGGAAAAGGCAGTCAGCTTTCATAACAGTTCTGCCAGAGCCAGTGTTTACCTCCTGTGCTAAAACCAGTGTCACTATCTAGTAATGAATGTAGGACAGGAAGTCAAAAACTACCACTTGTGTGTCTTTTAGAAGCTAGGTAGACGTTGGTAATAGCACAGACTGTCACTGGTGGTTTCCGCTAGGACCAGCTCTTTCTGCTGTTTGCCAAATACATACCCTTGAAAAAGTTACGGGATGTTCACTGTAATTGCTTTAGAGGAGTGCTTCTCTAACTGTGGACCTGGGCATTGTTTCAGGTAGGGTGTATGCTGTCCCTGGCTGCCATTCCATGGTCCCCTACAGAAAGCTGGCTGTGTGCTATACTCAGCTGGTGCTCTCTCTCTGCTAAGGTGTACTGGGAAAGGGAAGGAGAAGACAGGAGAGGAAGGTAGAGTGAACAGAAGGGAAGAGAGAAGCAGGAGCAAAGGTTGGAAGCAGGAAGCAGAGCAAACAGGGGAATTAGGATACTTCGTTACAGTGTAATTCCTGCTAGCTTTGGCTGTTGCCTCCTGGCCCTGATGGAAGATGGGCACATCCTGCAGTATCAGCCCCAGTCTAGCAGCTGACATGGAGGTAGGACAAACAATAATCTCTCTGATTCCTCTTAATGTGCCACTTTGCCATTACCTTTGATCACGGCTGCAGTCACAGTGGCACCTACTAATTTAAGGGGTCCAATGCTGAATAAGATATCAGCGGTGTCAAACAGTGACAGCACCAGGGAACATGCTACTCCACAGTGGCAGCAAATTCTGTAGGAACATTCTCTGAAGAACAGCTGAGCGAAACAGCAAAGAGTATGATGAAGAAGCTGTTAGTGATGATACCTTGCCTTGCTCTGTGCTGGCCACCCCACTCATGTTGATGATGAATGATCTGGGCATTTGGCTCAGAGTACCATATGAACAGAGAGAGTTGGATGGGTTCATACCTGGGATCTGTGATGGAAGCTACTGAGATGCATTCTACCCAAAACTAGTAGAATTTCCTTTGATCATTTTTGTGGGAAAAGGAAAAAGCACTTGAGTGACACTGTTGCTGGAAAGTAAGTCATGTGTGCTCTGGTGAAGTAAAGGCTCTGAGCTGTCTCTTTCATTTCTTTCTTTGGCTAGTTCACTTCAAAAAAGGTGGGGGAACCCTCACCGTTTGGCAGACTGGCTGCTTGAGACAGCTGATTTTGGCTGTCATGAATGAACTCTGCACACTCATTTCGTATCTGATTCCATCCCTGTGCTGTCATTTTGTGACTGTTCAGGCTTAGTAGTTACAATTTGAGGATCCCTACTATAGACAGTTTCAGCCTTATTTAACAAATGTAGTCTAATTCCCCCATCCCTAAACACCCACACAGTTGGGTACTCATTTTTAATTAGTTATTGTCAATTTGAACCCATAAAAAGGGAGAAAAATGAAACTTGTAAAATTCTTAATTCTTCTGAAGTGTAAAAGTGTAAAATTTAATACTGTTAATGACTTTAGTGTGGCTCATACCACCTGTTTAAACAGACATATTTTATTATAAGTTTGATGGAACAAAGGACATTTTGAATTCTTCAGAATAGACACAGCAATTTTTCTATTTGATTTGTGTACATATTTCTAAAATAATTTTGATTATCTTGAGCATGTTTTATTATGTAGGGCTTGTGTTAAATTTCAGAAGGAAATTGTGAACTGTGTTCAGTATGCATGAACTGGGTGGTTTTGATAGAAGAAGTACAGAGGCCTTTAACACAGACCATTTTATGCTTATTCTTTTCAACTTGAAAATAACTTAAGCAATTTAAAGATGATTACAGAAGTCCCCAAAGCAAGGAATGGCTCTTCTTTCTAGGAGCAAAAGCACTTTTCTAGTTTGTTGACTAAATACAGGTAAAATAAACCTACTAGATTAGATCTCTCTAGCATATTTTCCTGTTCAAATGAAATATTTTCTTATGGAAGTGACCACACTGAAAAAATTTCTGGACAACCCACGTTGTTTTTCTTGGCTGTACTGCCTCCACTGTGAAATGCTTACAATGCCGTGGCTGGTCACAGTTAATTGTAATATCTCTTGAACACTTGCTGAGTGCGGTTTTGCTTGATTAATGAAAGCACATTAGTTTAATGTACTGGACTGTATATTTCTTTTTGCTTTGAAGATCTACTTCAGAAGTAAAAACAAACAAACAAAACACTAGAATCTGCATACATGGCTTATGTGCACCAACTCAAAATGTATAAAAGTTTTAAGAAACTTTTGTAAAGACAGAAAAACAATCTTTTCTAACCAGTATTCTTGATATTTTTAATAGGATAAGCTTTCAGAGGACATAGACTACCTCATTAGTAAGGAGGCCCAGGTGAAAAGTCAGATTACAGAACTTGGTCTTTTAATGAAAGAAACAGAGGTAAGAATTTGACTTGAACCAAGCGATCCTGTGATCTGATTTTAGAGCACTAGTATTAATACTAATTTCAGATTGTTATAATATTAATACTATAATACTAATTGTTACACTTTGTTCAAACTTGGAAAAAAACTCTCTGTATCTTGCTGGTTGCATCATATTTAAAGGCTTGCATACAAATCTGGTGTGGTTCCTAACAATTTGAACTGGTGTTGTATAATGACTTGTGTGTTGTTTTAGGGCTGACAAGATCCAGCTTCAAATCCCCACTCAACTGTTGTCTCAAACACTTTTAAGTTTCCTGTTTTCATTTCTAATAGGGATCTAGCCATCTTCCAGTTATGTTCCAGCAATCTCTAAGAGCAGCTAGATATTAAGGCTGATACAAAATTGGCATGTCTAGCTAGTAGGTAGCTAGACAATATTTTCCATCTAGGAATTGGGATGAAGAAGTGCGATACAATATGCTGCTTATTTAGAAAGCAGCTTTTGTAAAAATGGATGAAAAGCATTGTTGATTACAAATATGCCATAGGATGATATTACATGCAAAGTATTCAGAAAACTGTGTCAAATTCATAACAGAGTTTGAGGGACACTAGTATGCTTTTTTTGTAAAACAAGTGACAGGAAGTCACATCTGAAACTGATGAGAAAGCAGAGAGAGCCTGAGCTTGGTAGGGATAAGCATTTTTGCAACTATTTTAGTTGAAAGTAGATTTAATAGTTAGTACACTTGAAATTTGAGTGGGTGGCAGTAAATATGGAGGCCTTGCAAGGCAGTATATTTTAAAGCAAGTATAAAGTATCTCTTTCAGTCTGATAGCTGAATTAATTTTGCAGCTCTTAGGGGCAGCATTCTAGTGATTGAGTGGAGCCATGGGCAAAAGGGCTGAGGCCAAAAATACAGAAATAATCATATTTTAATTTAAAACTCTTCTTGCCAGTCATTTAAGCTGTAGGAGAGATATTTCAACCTTTAGAATGGGAGAACACGGCAGAAAACCTGGGAGTCCTCCTAGTGAGTGATGGTTTGAAGGAAAGGGGTGGGATGATCTGGGGAAGTCTGGAGAGTTGGATTTGGTCTCTGGGCCTGAGATTCTCCATTCCTACTATAAAGGAACAAATCATAGAGCTATTGTAGGTCAAAAGGCACTACTGACTTTTGTCAAAAGGCACTACTGCCTTTTAAAATAAATCCCATCAACATGCATATACAGTATATCACAGAAGTGAGTACACCCCTCACATTTTGTAAATATTATATCTTTCCATGTGACAACCCTGAAGAAATGACACTTTGCTACAATGTAAAGTAGTGAGTATACAGCTTGTATAACAGTGTGAATTTGCTGTCCCCTCAAAATAACTCAACACACAGCCATTGATGTCTAAACCGCTGGCAACAAAAGTGAGTACACCTCTAAGTGAAACTGTCCAATTGGGCATTATTAGCCATTTTCCCTCCCGGGTGTCATGTGACTCGTTAGTGTTACAAGGTCTCAGGTGTGAATGGGGAGCAGGTGTGTTAAATTTGGTGTTATCGCTCTCACTCATACTGGTCACTGGAAGTTCAACATGACATCTCATGGCAAAGAACTCTCTGAGGATCTGAAAAAAAGAATTGTTGCTCTACATAAAGATGGCCTTGGCTATAAGAAGATTGCCAAGACCCTGAAACTGAGCTGCAGCACGGTGGCCAAGACCATACAGCGGTTTAACAGGACAGGTTCCGCTCAGAACAGGCCTTGCCATGGTCAACCAAAGAAGTTGAGTGCACATGCTTAGTGTCATATCCAGAGGTTGGCTTTGGGAAATAGACGTATGAGTGCTGCCAGCATTGCTGCAGAGGTTGAAGGGGTGGTGGGTCAGCTTGTCAGTGCTCAGACCATACGCCGCACACTGCATCAAATTGGTCTGCAGGGCTGTCATCCCAGAAGGAAGCCTCTTCTAAAGATGATGCACAAGAAAGCCCACAAACAGTTTGCTGAAGACAAGCAGACTAAGGACATGGATTAGTGGAACCATGTCCTGTGGTCTGATGAGACCAAGATAAACTTATTTGGTTCAGATGGTGTCAAGCGTGTGTGGCGACAACCAGGTGAGGAGTACAAAGACAAGTGTGTCTTGCCTACAGTCAAGGATGGTGGTGGGAGTGTCATGGTCTGGTGCTGCTGGCACTGGGGAGCTACAGTTCATTGAGGGAACCATGAATGCCAACATGTACTGTGACATATTGCAGCAGAGCATGATCCCCTCCCTTTGGAGACTGGGCCACAGGGCAGTATTCCAACATGATAATGACCCCAAACACACCTCCAGAACAACCACTGCCTTGCTAAAGAAGCTGAGGGTAAAGGTGATGGACTGGCCAAGCATGTCTCCAGACCTAAACCCTATCGAGCATCTGTGGGGCATCCTGAAACGGAAGGTGGAGGAGTGCAAGGTCTCTAACATCCACCAGCTCCGTGACGTCATGGAGGAGTGGAAGAGGACTCCAGTGGCAACCTGAGAAGCTCTGGTGAACTCCATGCCCAAGAGGGTTAAGGCAGTGCTGGAAAATAATGGTGGCCACACAAAATATTGACATTTTGGGCCCAATTTGGACAGTTTCACTTAGGGCTGTACTCCCTTTTGTTGCCAGCGGTTTAGACATTAATGGCTGTGTGTTGACTTACTTTGAGGGCACCGCAAATTTACACTGTTATACAAGCTGTATACTCACTACTTTACATTGTAGCAAAGCGTCATTTCTTCAGGGTTGTCACATGGAAAGATATAATAAAATATTTACAAAATGTGAGGGGTGTACTCACTTCTGTGATATACTGTATGTAGGAACATTTTAGCTGAATGGATTATCTGGTGGACTATCACCATTGCCTACTTCACCTGCTGCTACTTAATGAAGTAGGGAATAGGGTTCCTCTTCCTTTCACAGTGGACATCCCAGCCAACTGCTTTGTGAGCAGGAAAGGAAGACATAAACTTTCACAGCCACCATCTTTTCAAATAGGCTTTAATGCAATTTTGAATTACATAAATTCTTCCTGTGCCTTATGAGTCATGTGTTCTAGTTTGTAAGCAGGGACTGTCATGCTGCTCTTCTTTGTATGGTACTTTGGGAATCTTTTTGAGTAAAGGGCAGGGTATAAAATTGATGTAAATAAATACTCTTTTGAGATTAAATATTGTGTGCGGGTTCCAGGAGATACTGAAGATACTGGTAATGGGATTATTGAACAGAAAAGTTAAAATCCCAAAAGAAGAATCATATTGTGTGTCTTATGTACTCACATGAATTGTTAAGGCCAAGCTGGGTAAATATTAGGGAGTATGATCAGATATTTTCTTTATATTTTTGCCATTTGTGAACTGTGTGTGTTAGTGTGTAGAGCTTAACTCTCTTCTTTGACCTTTTAGAAAATGTAATGCACTCAATAAACATACACACCCCCAATAAATATATATCAGCTGCTGTTTTCCCTGTTCAGTAAACTGCATGGATCTAATTTGTCCTTCTTCATGACATAGCAAACTTTTAGATTGGAATGAGCTAGATACTTGTGTATTTAAAAATCCACCTTTTTTTAAAGCAAACAACTGTCACTAAAACATTTAGTTTAAATGCACTTTTGCACCAAAACAATGTGTAAATAAACAAATACTATGTTTATTTTCATAGTGTTAAAAGCTACAATTTTATGCTATCTTAAAGAATAGCAATGTGAATGTATTGTGGGACTTCATTAGATACATATAAACATGTGGGAATTGTTATGAAAAATTTCCAGAAATTTGATGGGAGTTGACATTACAGAAATCGATCTAAAGCATCTGTTCCTGTTTGAGAGGCCATAACCCTCCTTAGAAACTGGCATCTTAATTTTTGATCATTTTGAAAAGTTGTCTGTAATGGTAGTGATCCATAAGATACATGCATCTGAGTTTCTTTTAGGCATAGGGGGTTTGTTTTGCTACCAGTGGTTAAAGGTACTAAAGGCCTGCTCTGTTTGGCCAGCTCTACAGGCAGTGGCCAACAGAGGGGACAGGATGAGCCATGCTCTGCAGGGACTTAGTTCCTGGCAAAGGGGGTTATTTTCTGAAGGAAATTATAACACACGCCAATCCCCAATTTCACTATTTCAGGCACACGGTGGGGAACAGGCTTCTGCCACTGCCAGTCCTTTTGTTTGATGCAGTGATGGGTGGGTGAGCCCATTACTTCAGCCTAATTGCAAGTAGGGAAGCTTGGTCTTCCCATGGTGTCTTCTCTTGTGATACCTGCAAGAGGACAAATTGGGAGGAGGAAGCACCCTGACCCCAGTGTGCTTTGATTATCTGTTGAGCACATCAGGAGTAGGGTAGCTTATAAACCATACTGCATAGCTTTTGATGCAGTGCAGCTTGTTGTGCCCTGTGAACTCATCCACTAACTACTTCAGTATCTAACCAGAACAAGTCCAGAAAAACTGGACTCATTAGAACAATGCCCGTCTTGTTAGGAAAGCACCATTTCTTCTTCTTGCAGCTTCATGGTTGGGAACTTTCTATAGCTGAGGAATTAGTGGGAGCTTTCCAGCATGAAGTGGTGCACCTCCTTTACCACCTGATAAATAGTTAAGATGCATTTGAAATTTGTCAGTGGTAGGTAGTTTATTGTATTAAGCCATAGGCCTACAAATTTACAGAGACATAAGATACAATTTAACAAAGGAGAACTTTAAAACTGGTATGACAAATTAATTAAAACTAGAAGAGTTAAAAAGGAATAAAAAGTAAAAATGGACCAGTCATGCATCAATAAATTAACCCTTTCAAAACCCGCCTAGATCTTAGTTGCAAAGGCAGAGAGAGAGACTTTGCATGACACATGTGCATCAAAGTCTGATAACAGAAATAGTAATTCTCAAAATCAGGCCATGCATTTCTGGCTGATAAAATGCTAGTCAAAAATTTGTCTCTCAGCATTCTATATAGAGAGCAACAGATAATGTAGT